GGCATGCACGGGCACATGCATTTTGTACTCAACTGAGCAACCATCACTGCACTGTATGTGCCGGGGGGGGGGACGAAATTTTGTGAGTTTAACTTGCGAGTGTGCGTTCACACCATTGAATAATGTGCGTTGTTTGCACGAGCTGCAGTTCTCAACTGCCCCTTCCGAACACGCACATTTTCGACTGGCCCTGCACTCTGTCTGTCTGTCTGTCTGTCTGTCCGTCGATTATCTCCAGAACCGGGCACCGTATGGAGTTGAAAATCGGCGGGTGTATTGCTCGGGACAACAGAAAGTGCAGTGTCAAGTTTGAAGTGGTTTGGACCAACGGTTTTAGAAAAAGCTGCAAAAAAGCAGTATTTTCTGAGGCAAACGCGCCAGAATATAGCCTAGAACACCACGCACTGCCGTTCTTTTCAATTGTTTACGTCATGTTTGAGCAAGAGCGCGCCTGCTCAATATGACGCAACAATGCAAAAAGGAGGGGAACATTGTAGGGCGATAGCACTGCACACCATGTATTCGTACGTGAGTGGCATGCACGGGCACGGGCACATGCATTTTGTAGGCAACTGAGCAACCATCCGCACTGCACTGTATGTAGGCGGTCGACTGAGCAACTCTAATACAATATGGTATCGCCCTACAACTACGCCCTACAGTTGTAGGGCGATACCATATTGTCCAGTAGGGGTAAATATCAGTGCCGGGGGTTGACGACATCTTGTGCGTTTAACTTGCGAGTGTGCGTTCACACCATTGAATAATGTGCGTTGTTTGCACGAGCTGCAGTTCTCAACTGCCCCTTCCGAACACGCACATTTTCGACTGGCCCTGCACTAGTCTATATTCTACAATTCCAGGAATCTCTGTCTGTCTGTCTGTCTGTCCGTCTGTCTGTCTGTCTGTCCGCCGATTATCTCCAGAACCGGGCACCGTATGAAGTTGAAAATCGGCGGGTGCATTGCTCGGGACAGCAGAATGTGCAGTGCCGAGTTTGAAGTTGTTTGGACGAGCGGTTGTCTAAAAAGCTGCAAAAAAGCAGTATTTTCTGAGGCAAACGTGGCAGCTTAGAACATAACACCACGCGTACGCACTGCCGTTCTTTTCAATTGTTTACGTCATGTTTGAGCAAGAGCGTGCGTGCTTAATATGACGCAACAATGGAAAATGAACGGGCACGCGCACGTGCATTGTAGGGAATACCATTTTCCAGTATGGGTGAAAAGCACTGCATACCATGTTTCCGTATGTACACGTACGTGGTGGCTGCATGGGCACATTATTTTTGTAGTCGATTGAGCGACCATTGTAGGCGGTCGAAATTCAAACTTGGCACAAACTTTGACGTGAGTGTGCGTTCAACCTGTGAAAACAACACCATTGAATCGCGTGCGTTGTTTGCACGAGCAGTTTTCAAAAACTCTGCAAGAATGCAACCTATACCAACGGTCAAGCAATTTGTCCCTCCCAATCAGGCACATTTTCAACTTGCCCTCCCGAACAAGCACATTTTCGACTGGCCCTGCACTAGTCTACTTTAATTCCGGAAATCTATGTCTGTCTGTCTGACGGGCTATCTGTCTGTCTGTCTGTCCGCCGTTTATCTCCAGAACCGGGCACCGTATGAAGTTTAAAATCGGCGGGTGTATTGCTCGGGACACCAGAATGTGCAGTGCGAAGTTTGAAGTTGTTTGGACTAGCGGTTCTCGAAAAGCTGCAAAAAAGCAGTAGTTTCTGAAGCATAGCGTAGCAGTATATATCTTAGAACATAACACCATGCACTGCCGTTCTTTTCAAATGTTTACGTCATTTAAAGCTAAAGCGCGCAAGCTCAATATGACGCAACAATGGAAAAAAGGACGGGCACATTGTTGGGCGATACCATTGTGCAGTATAGGTGAATAGCACTGCACACTATGTCTCCATACGTACATGTACGTGAGTGGGCATGCACAGGCACATGCATTTTGCTGTCAACTGAGCAACCATCACTGCACTGTATGTAGGCGGTCAACTGAGCAACTGTTACTGTAGGGCGATATCATATTGTCCAGTAGGGGTAAATATCAGTGCCAGGGGATGACAACATGTGTGCATTTAACCTGCGAGTGTGCGTTCAACCTGTGGAAGCACCATTGAATAATGTGCGTTGTTTGCACAAGCTGCAGTTCTCAACTGCCCCTTCCGAACAGGCGCATTTTTGACTGGCCCTACACTAGTCCTTAATATAATTCCAGGAATCTCTGTCTGTCTGTCTGTCCGTCAATTTTCTCCAGAACCGGGCACCATATGAAGTTGAATATCGGCGGGTATATTGCTCGGGACCACAGAATGTGCAGTGCCAAGTTGGAAGTGGTTTGGACCAGGTGTTCTCGAAAAAGCTGCCAAAAAAGAGCATTTTTTGAGCCTCAACGTGGCAGATTATATACCTATAGAACATGCGCAGTCCTTTTTCACTTGTTTACGTCATGTTTGGTGAGCAAAAGCGCGCGTGCTTAATATGACGCAGCAACGGAAAAAAGGACGGGCACATCATGGGAATGTTTTTAATTGTTTACGTCATGTTCGAGCTTTAGCCAGCGTGCTCAATATGACGCAAACAGTGCAAAAAGGACGGGCACATTGTAGGGCGATAGCACTGCACACCATGTCTTCGTACGTACATATACGTGAGTGGCATTCACGGGCACATGCATTTTGTAGTCAACTGAGCAACCATCACTCAACCTCGTGCCCCTTTGGGTACGACCTTGCAGCGCCGTGTTGCTTCCCAACATGCCTTGCGCGATCGTAACCCCTGGAATTGTGTAACTTAAATGTGCCAAAATATGGCACATTATAATTAGGGCTGCAGTTTATCCGTTTTACGAGCCGACGCCATCTTTAAAATGTTAACAGTTGTGATTTTGAAGAATCCATCCTTTCAAACACAACGTTTGGACGTTGTGTTAATTAGCAAAGATTTGTTTTAAATGTACGTACTCCTTTCGTACCTTTACAACCACAGATACAAGGTTTTCTAAGCGAAAAACGCGGCTGACATAATCCATATCGTACAGGCATCGCGACTTTTGAATCATATTTTTTTTCCTACGTGACGTTACGTGCAAAGCTAAGCACGCGAGGGCGAGCGCATTATGGGCGCGCCCGGCGTGCAATCTACGAAATGCCCGCGCTGTACGCTGTGAATAGCCATTCAGCGTCATTTACGTCATCATCACAGCCAGGGGCTAGTGTAAGGAACGAGAACGCGACCCCTGGAGTCGAGGCTGACCATCACTGCACTGTATGTAGGCGGTCGACTGAGGAAGTCTAATACAATATGGTATCGCCCTACAACTACGCCCTACCAAATTTTCTAGTAGGGGTAAATATCAGTGCCAGGGGGTGACGACATTTTGGGCGTTTAACTTGCGAGTGTGCGTTCACACCATTGAATAATGTGCATTGTTTGCGAGAGCTGCAGTTCTCAACTGCCCCTTCCGAACACGCACATTTTCGACTGGCCCTGCACTAGTCTATATTATAATTCCAAGAATTTCTGCCTGTCTGTCGGTATTTCGATTATCTCCAGAACTGGGCGCCGTATGAAGTTGAAAATCGGCGGGTATATTGTTCGGGACAACAGAATGTGCAGTGCCAAGTTTGAAGTGGTTTGGATGAGCGGTTCTCAAAAAAGCTGCAAAAAAAACCAGTATTTTCTGAGGCAAACATGGCAGTATATAGCTTAGAACATGACACCACGCGCTGCCGTTCTTTTCAATTGTTTACGTCATGTAAAGCTAAAGCGCGCGTGCTCAATATGACGCAAACAATGCAAAAGGGACGGGCACGCGATACCATTGTCCAGTAGGGGTGAATATCTGCGCTGTTATTTGCTTTTTCGAGAACCATGCACTCGCCCAAACAACTTCAAATTTGGCACAAACTTTGACGTGAGTATACGTTCAACTTGTGAAAACAACACCATTGGATCGCGTGCGTTGTTTGCAAGAGCAGTTCTCAAAACCTCAGCAAGCATACAACCAATACCAGCGGCAAAGCAATTTGCGCTTCCCCAACATGCACATTTTAGACGGGCACTGCACTAGTAGTCCTAAATTCACAATACACGTACACCGTTCTGAGCCACATCGCCCAGTACGCACGACGCGCGCGCCAATCTCCATATAAGGAGTTGTTAACCACTTGCGAGACTGGAAATAACATAATATACCTGGAGGGGTGTCCCGAAAAACATTAAGTTAAATTGCTGAACAAAATCGTTGAACATTTATAATATTTGACTTGTTTTGACTTTTGGACCGTCGGCTCGGGTAATTATCAGCACTCAAACAATCATGATGTATAAAAAGACCAACCTTATACAGCACACAAAAAATGCAACCCAAAAAGACCCCAAAAAAAAGCCACAAAAAAAAAACACACCTTAAACAAAAAGAATTTCAAAACTACAATATTCATCAACGTTATATTTTGCGTAATAGCGATATGTTTTGGAGTGTTAGTTTATTACGTTTACATGACAAAAAACACAGTCAGCAGCCACCTATGTGGCATGAAGAGACCAGGTACAATTAATAAATACTTAAGGCAGTTTACCCATTCCTGTTGGTCGCCGGTCGTAAAAGTTGATAAAACAACCGGCTGGCTGGTGTACTTTGCCAGTGTCACATGACATTTGGACTCCTATGAAATCCAGTCCCTTTCACCCTTGTATTTGTTGACCGGCATAGTGTTTAAAACAAAGTGTTTAAAACCGGCCAAGCACATACTTATTCCCTTATTAATAAAATTTTCATGTACTTACACAAAATGTCGAGAACATAAAAATATCATTTTTGAAACCATTAAACAATTTAATAGGCATAATTTGTTCATGTTTTTTTTCTTCTACAACCACGAGGAAAGACTCTACTGAACCTAAAAAAAAACAATATCAAAATAACGCCAAAAAAAAAGACTTGAAAGCGAAAAACGCCACAGGGTTTCAAATCTTATTTCCAAGCGTGTACGACCATAAATTCCAAAGTGATGAGGACATGTCCGGGCTGAGTCTTATCCCCATAGCGATCCAACGCCCACTGCCACAGGTCTTGCAGATAATCCTCCAGCGCTGCCGCTGGTATCAACGGTGTTTCTCCAAGACATGTATCCAAAAACACTGTTGAAAAGAGAGAACAAATCCAGGTGATTTACGTATGCGCACGTGTGTGCACAACCTGATTGAATAATCTTTAAATAATGTTTCAACAACTGAAAATCCCCTTGTGTTATATAAGGCATTTCTCTAAAGCTCCAGCTTCTTAAACGCCTCCATACTTTCTCATTTCCGAATTATTTTCCGAATAACATGAGTTTATTCTGTTTCTGTATTATGAAAAAGTTGGTACTGTGTTCATCACGATTTGAAAGCGTGGATAGAAAATGTATATTTCAATTGAATTGAATTGAAGTGAATTGAATAGCCCGTCGCAGAGCTGACATATCGACGAATAAGCGAAAAGCATGTTTCGAGTTATTCGCGTATGAAGTTGAACATTTTTCTGAGCGTTGTATTTTACCATTTATGTTTCGATAATAACCCTTTTGGTGTATATTCGGAATAAAAAAATCTCTAATAGCCGGCTGTTCTTCACACTGTTTCGCTATTCGCCAGTTTGACGGATCGCACGCGCGCGCAATTCGACAAACTGACGAATTATTCGTTGGTACTTTGAACGCATACCTTAAATTAGCTGGTGAATTGCACTCCTTTAATTACATATGTGGTTCGGAAAAGGTACATTTCGATTGTTAAAGCTTACATTTTAACTGAATTTCGGACAGGACCTGTTCGTGCCTCCATACTTCACACTTAGCCTCGGCCCAGCCACGTGCTTTGAAGACTTTCTGCGTTTCTGGGACCGATAGGTCCCAAAAGTGCAGTGATGACTTGTAGTCCTGTATTACAAAAAAGACCATCTCTGTTATGTGAAAAGGGAAGGTAGACATTCTTCGATTAAGCATTTAAAACCCTCATATGGGAACATGCCTTCTGAGCCATGCTATAACTTGGGTCAATTATATTGGTCAAGTGACCCATTTGTTTTTTAAATGTAAACATGGGGAAGTGGAAGGAAACTTTGACCGTTTGTGACCTTTTAAACAGCAGGAAGGTTTTAAGAAAGACCTTCCTACCCCCCCCCCCCCCACCATCCACTTTTCAAAGTTTTCCAAGCTATGCCGGTCCTCTGTGTTAACTAGAAATCGGCACCGCTGTAGTAAGCAGTTGGACTGAGATTTTAGTCTGGTTTTGTGAAAGGATCTCGATCTACGCAAACCAAACAACAAAACGCCCCCTCCCGCCCCGCCAAAAGATCCAATTTTGAAGGACGATGGTTTCATACCTCGACAAAAGCACCCCACTTCTCATGGCTTTTCAAGAAGGAAGTCGCACGGGGTAAAAAGAAGGAGTCGTCGCGGTTCTCGAAACGGATGATGAACAGTGCCTGCCCTCCCGGCTTCAGACACGCCGAGATGCTACGGAGCGCTTGGGTCTCCTCGGGAATCCAGTGGAGAACGAAGAAACGGACAGCTTTGTCGAATCTCTTTCGCCAGTCCGGGATGTCCCCCACGGCTCGGGCGTCCCATTGACTGTATGTTACGTGTGGTGCCGAGTTGGTCTTAACGGCTACTGTTACCATTTTCTCTGAAGCGTCAATACCTAAAGGGAAGGGGAACAGAGTTAAAGGCACCCTAATTGATATGATAGTATAAAGCGGGTGTTTTTTGGCGTAATTTCAAATTGCTGTTAATGCCCAAATGCGAGCTCCTGTGGAACGGTCGTGTTTTTTTTTTGTGCGAAGTTAATCTGGAGGACAGTGTGTTTAAAAGACCGGTAGAATGGTGAGACAGGACACGCCGTATCTAAAACTACAAACTCTATGACTTTGAAACATTGTGAAAAGATAAAGCGCCCTCATTTATAATCTAATCACAAGTGGCCGCGCCACCGGGAGACGGAGGATTTGCCCCTCCCCCCCCAAAAAAAAAAAAAAAAAAACTAACCTGCCCCCCCCTCCCCCCGCCGTGTGTCCACTTGCCAAAAAACTCAAACAACAGAGAAAAAGGAAACAAGTTAAGGTAAAAAAGGAAACAAAACGGGGAGACCTAAAGTCAGTTTAAATACCGAAAACAGATCGGAACTGGCCCTAAAATAGGGTTATTATGAACATAGAAACGTATTATAGTTTTGAACTTTTCCTTGCTCTATGGAGTGGCGTAGCCACCGGGGGGGGGGGCGTGGGCGTGGGGGGCCGGCCGCCCCCATGAAACCTTGTCGCCCCCCCCCCGCACAACATTTTTCCTCCATTCATATAAGCTAAATAATAATAATAATAGACCAATTAAAATTCCTTGAAATCAGTGGCGTAGCCACGGGGGGGGGGGGGGGGGCGTGGGAGGGAGGGGGGGGCGACAAAACTGAGATTTTGAGTTTCTAAACAAAATATCATTGATCTACATGACGCCATGGGCGTCAATCCCGGGGGGACAGGGGGACTAGTCCCCCCCCCCCCCACCCCCACCTTTTTGAAGGGTGGGGAACACAATATCAAATGTCCCACCCCCCCCCCCCCCCAGATTTTTGAACTCGTGTCTCATTTACAAGGCCCTATTATGTACTACAATGTATCTTTTGCTTAGAAAATATTGGTTAAAGTGGTCAGAAATTGCCTCATATAGCACCACAGAGCATTTAAAATCCACAATTTTTCGGGGCCCTTAAGCGGGTCCCGAACCCCACGCCTATAGCTCAGAATTCTGGTAGCTGATTCAATGACTCCAACCTCGAAAACAATGCTCTAAATTGTTTCTTATGCCTTTAGCTGAGAAAACCTCGAAAATTATTTTTAAATTATTATCTTTTGTGCTAAGATAATTATTGGTTAAAGTGGTAAGAAATTGCCTCAGATCACACCACAGAGCATCGAGAATCAATTTTTTTCGGGGCCCTTAAGCGGGCCCCGTACCCCACGCCTATAGCTCAGAATACCGATAGCTGATTCAATGACTCAAACCTCGAAAACGATGTTCAAATAATTATCTTTTGCTAAGAAAATATTAGTTAAGGAAGAAAGTGGTAAGAAATTTGCTTCAGATCATACAACAGAACATCTAGAATCCATTTTTTTTGCGGGGCACTTCAGCGGGCCACGAACCAACACGCCGTAAGGGCTTCGCGCTTCGCGCTCGCATCGAGCCAATATAGTTCATCGCACTATCCACTAAGTAACAACAATGGTGTGACGTTGTTCTTTTCTCATGAAAAAAAAAAAAAATTGAAACTGCACTGAATAATCATGATCCATTGACGATGTTAATAAATAAAAGACTCTTTCATATCTCAATTATCCAGCTGGTGTAACGCATTCGTAAAGCTTTGTGATGTACATGTACATGAACTATACATGTACATGAAGAGTGCATAATACTGTGCATGAACATCCATACCGAAAACACACAGTGTATGTACAGGACATCTATGATTATTATTATTATTATTATTATATTGCTATAGTCTAATCTTCATACTGCAAACTTTTAAAGAGTAATGATAACCCCTCCATGATTTCCATGTAATGTGTCGATAGTCAAGGCAAGTCTTTGTAGCGAGAATAAGCTTTGAAGAGAACGTGTTTCATCCATGGCGGCAGAGTGAGTTCTGATAAGACCAGTCTCGAACACAAGCAGTACATTTACTATATACCGCCACACTGACGACTGTAATACTGAGAGAGGAGAAAATACAATAGCGGCAGCCAAGGCTATTGGAAGGAAATTGCATCCTTAGGGGAAATAAACTGCGGTCGGCATCTTTCACAATTAAAACAAGGCACGCGATTGCTTTCGTTATCTGATCAATAAAAGTGGCTCTGCAATCTACGACGGAATTTCACCGACACATAAAAAAAAATGCTAAATGCCCAATGTCTCGTTCATAGGAAGGCAATAGATTCATCACGCGGGTAATATGGAACCACTGTTATTAATGACTGCAGGCCCCATTGCTGCGATATTTTGGCTCTCCGTAACAGGATGTTGACAAGTAGGCAAGCTGCAATTCTCATAAACAAGTTCAAGTTAATTGGGCAGCGTTCTTTTTGGTCAACGAGTACGCAACAGTGTAATTGCTCTTACTCAAATGAAAATAGATGTTAAAATTTGCCAAGGACACTCGATGTACCATTTAGTATTTGGCAAACGATGAATGTACAGTTTTCTTTCCTTATTGTGGGGAAGCATATACGTCAGTGCTAAAACGAAATATATATCAATTTATCATTTCAAATGTAATTTCTTAACGATTCCAAACAGATTCCGACATATTACGGTAATACAAATCCTTCAGTGCAGCACTTCTTCACAGGTACAATCTTGCCAACCTAACTTTAAAATCATTGAAAGCTTTGGGGCTATGAAAAATCATAGAAAGGTTTGACTGCTATTTTAGTTCTTGTAAACTCGGGAGGAGTGGCAATACTTTTCAATAATATAGGTTTCCCGGCCAATTTCACCAAGTTTCTATTCAATTTCACGCCTGGCTCATTTAATTGAGATTGACATTGAAAGATCACGCAGATTGGGTTTCGGGTTTTTTTTTTACTCACGCTGTATTTCACATTGTATCAAACATGCTTTAAGACTTCCTGCATGTAAAATTCTGAATTATCTCGGCGTAAATCACATCTCACGTCTTCAATCCGTAAATGCACACCTTTCGATCTTAATTAAAGGGTCCGGCAATGACTTTTTCTCAGGAATACATTAAGTGCAGTGTTCTACTACTCTGAAGTGTAATAAAACTGACATCCTCTTTGGTTAATCTTATTGCGATGTGCACTTCTTTAAACCAAAAGGGGCCGGGGGGGAGCGGAATCCGCCCCCCCCTCAACATTTTCTGCGATAGCTTCTAAAAAAATTTTTTTCGCGACCCGAGCTGTTATGACTTTTTAGCCTCGAGCTTTGCGCATCTTTTGATACCAAAAACATAAAAATCGGACCACGGGTTGGCCCGTAGCGAAAAATTTTCCGGCGCTACGCGCCGTGAAAACTGAATTTTCGCATATACGTCGTGTACACCGAGCAGAATTGCCATTCATACATATGAATAATTAATTAGCCATAATTCCAAAACCCTTTGACCTATAGTCATGAAATTTCTTGGGCATGTTTAGGAAGAGTTGCTCTATGCATGTGCTGAGTTTCAAAATTTTACGTCACTCGATGGCTGAGATCTTAGGGGGGGGGCGGAATCCGCCCCCCCCCCGGCTGAGAGATGGTCAAAATAACCCGGCCCCTTTAGGGTTAAACGTTTATTATTTTCCTGCCCAGACTTCTGAGCGCGCATTTGCTGTGATGTGATTTCAGAAAGACACTGTTCAGTTTAGGGTTTTCTTTCAAATTATTCACCGTACGGTACCCAACATTTGCTAATTGAAAACATTATTATTTTGTGAGACAGATTTGCTCATTGGCTCACTGCTATGTACTGACACAGCAAAGAATGGCCAAGGAAAAAAAATGTTTGATAACAAAATGTCCCAAATTGTAGGAACATTTTGTTTTGAAACAACCAAGTCGTATCTGCCAGGAATGACATCTAAGTTTTGCTTATGAATATGGAACTTTGCGTGAACATAACAACGGAACAGGCATCAAAAATACCCTTCATAAAAGAAAAACAAATAATAAACAATAAAAGAAAGTTAAATGTGACACAAAGATGTATTGTTAAGGTGTGTATTGAACAATTTCTTTGCATGGGCCCTTTTAAATATGTGTTCGGTCAGACGTACGCAAGAAAACATTTAAGAAAATATCAAAGACAGGCATGCCCGATGGTACAACCATTGCCGAACATAAATGCCCCGATGTCTTGCACGACGTCAAGAAATCTTCATTTAGAATGACAAACGATGAAAGTTTTTGCCCACAAACGAATAATGAACGACAAGCATTGCAACATTTTTTTAAGCGCACTGACGTTCGCTAATTTGAATGTCTAAACTGTCAAAAAGTTGCAAAGACTTAATTTAAGAATGCTAAAAATTAAGTCTTGAATGCACTAAACGAAAATGAATGCCCCGAAACGAAAACAAACATTCGGAAAAAAAAATCTTAGCTGCCTACAAATGAAATTGAATGCCCCCAAAATTTTAAGGAAACCCCAAGTTAAGCACATCTGTACAAACCACGCGAAATTGAATGGCTGATAATGAAAATGATTATAACAATTCGAAAATTGGCCGGGAAAACCTTTACTTACGAAGTTTAAAACTCTGGCGTGCAAAACTGATGCAAATGTATTTTTTTTGGCGAGGCGGGGGGGGGGGGTAAGTGACGCCACCAGCGTCGAAATAGTCCCTCCGGAAAAAAAAATGTGGCAAAATTGTTTGAAAATGTTTTTAACTTTTTACAAATTTGGAACAAAATAAATCGTGAGCACCCTCCCACCCCGAGCCAAATCCTGAGTGCACCACTGACCTCAGATGCCAGATGTGAGTTGGCAGATTAAGAACACCATAGTTACGTTCATGGCACATTAATAGTGTTCCTAGGCTCGTATGATATCGTCACCGACACCACGAAGTAACACCCATCTACATACCAGTAAAAACTAGCAATCGGAGAAAACGGCATCTAAAGTTGAACGCCTTCTAAAAC